TTGTAAACTGCGTAGTTCAAAGATTAGATATTGCTCCTTCAGTTTGTGGAGGTGCCGGTGTTGGACTGGGTGGACAAGGTCAAAAGTCACACGACGTGACATGTCAGGTGATGAAGGGCAGTGGTCCGAAAGTTTGTGATTCCAAATAAACCTGTTGGACTATAATCTGGTGTTGTATGACTTTTGACCTCCTCCAGTTTGTGCTGTGATTCACTGGAGCATTGCAGCATGCTGAGGACAGACAAGTAGGCATGCAAGCAAGATGCTGTGTCAAAATGACCGGCTATGGGAAGGTCGGGGTCACACTTGCACACAGGTCAGATGTGTTCTGCCAAGTGGTCACCCAGCTTGCGTTTCATTTCTCCAATGTAGAGTAGACCACATTGGATGCAGCAAATACAGTACACGAGACTGGACGAGGTGCAGGTGAAAAGCTGCTTCACCTGGAAAGATTGTCTGGGCCCTTGGATAGTGAGCAGGGAGGAGGTGAAAGGGCAGGTGTTGCACCTTTTACGGTTACATAGGAAGGTTCCGTGGGAAGGGGAAGTGGTGTTGGTGGTTGAGGTGACTAGCGTGCCCTGGAGGGAACGATCCCTGCGAAATGCAGACAGGGGAGTGAGGGGAAGATGTGTTTGGTGATGGCGTTCTACTGGTGTTGTCTGAAATAGCAGAGAAAGATTCTTTGCATGTGGAGGCTGGTGGGATGAGAAGTGAGAACAAGGGTGACTCGACCACACTGTTGTGAGTGATGGGAAGGGGCAAGGGTGGAAGCACGGGTGATAGGTCGGATGTGCTTGAAGGCCCTGTCAACCACAGTGGGCAGAAAACCACGGTTATGGAAGAAGGAAGCCACGTCAGCAACACTATTTTTGGGAGGTGACATCGTCTGAATAGATATGACGTAGGCAAAGGAACTGGGAGAATGGGATGGAATCCTTTCAGGGTTGGGAAGAGCTGTAGAGAAGGTAGCTATGGGAGTCAGTGGTTTTGTAGTGGATGGCAGTGGACAGTTTATTCCTCAAAATGGAGATGGAGAAGTTGAGAAAAGGAAGGGAAGTATCGGAAATGGACAATGTGAAAGTTACAAAGGGGTGGAAATTGGAGGCAAAATGAACAAATTTTTCAAGGTCCAGGCAGAAGTATGAAGCTGTACCAAAACAGTCATCAATGTACCAAGAAAAGAGTTGTGGGAGGCGGCCAGTGTAGGACTGGAACAAGGATTGTTCCAACAACCTCATAAAGAGGCAGGCATAACTGGGACCCATGCGGGTGCCCATAGCCACTCCGTCAACTTGGCAGAAGTGAGACGAATTAAAGGAGAAATTGTTCAGTGAGAGAACAAGTTCAGCCAAGCGGAGAAGAGTGGTCATGGATGGGGATTGATCAAAGAAGATGCCAAGATCTCTCAGACCATCCTGGTGGGGAATGGAGGTATAGAAGGATTGGACATCCATGGTGAACAGGAGGCAGTTAGGGCCATGGAACTGGAAATTGTTAATATGGTGGAGGAATTGCGGATGTAGGCGCGCAGGGTCTGGACAAGTGGAGAGACCATGGACTCAATGTAGGAGGAACTGAGCTTGGTGGGGCAGGAATAGGCTGATACGACGGCCGCATTTTCTAATGACAAAGCCAGTTGTAGTGCCTGTTTAAAGTCCAGTTGGGCTTCAGCTAGTGGGCTCTTTTGCATGGTTACATCATTAGTCAAACGGTGTCTCAGCATCTCATTCAGGGTTTACCCAAAATCACGTGCCTCTATCAGTCGTCTTAACCTTGTCATAAATTTCGATACAGATTCCCATAGTTCTCTAACAGCTAAATAAAACTGACAGCATCTCAGAATTAGAGGAAGTTTGGGTTTGTAATATTCCTTAACCAACTCCATCAACTTTTGGAAGGTTTTAGTGGCTGGTGCCTCTGGGAAAGCCCTTTATAACCAAAACTGCTGTTTGTCTGCAAGTAGGCAGAAGGATTGCTTGTTGCTTTTCATCTGTCCCAAAGTCATTTGCCCGGAAAAGATATTGAATTCTTTCCACGTGCTGGGCTGTCTTCAACAGCAGGATTGAATGAGTCAAGTTTCCCAAATAACAGCATGATGCCAGAGATGCTTACCCCAACTCCAAGATGACTGTTGCGAGTGAATGTTCTTCAGGCATGTGCTGTTTTCTCCCATTGCCACTGAAGTAACTGCATCCCATCACCAAGTCACCCTTTATTTACTTGTGCACAGTACACTGGCTGTGATCAGCCAGCTCAGAGTCAGTCCCCTGGACTAAATTGTCTCTCTCACCTAGAGGAGTCATGTGGCCGGTATTGGCATGCCTGTTGCCATTTCACTCGAAAAGCTCAGCAGGTCTGGCAGCATTTGTGGAGAGAAATCAGAGTCAACATTATGGGTCAAGTGACCCTTCTGAGGAAGGGTTATTTAACCTGAAATGTTAACTCTGATTTCTCTCCACAGATGCTGCCAGACCTGCTGAGCTTTTCCAGCAATTTCAGTTTTTGTTTGAGGTTTTATCACGACTGTTTATAATTTTGTTGCTCCACAATTCCAAATGTACTTATTAATTTAATTTAAATTTCACCATCCCCAAGATATTAGCCTGGGTCTCTGGATTACAAGTCCAGTAACATTACCATTGCCCAACCCTCTCCCACAGCATTCAGCAGAGTGATTAGCAGTTCGATGGGAACAGGGTCGAGAGAACACACATTAAATCTCATAGACAGGATGAGCTGAGAAATGACATGAGGGGTGATGGTTGGAAAAACTAGAGATAGATCTGAGCTCAGGGCTAGGACAGCAGGGATCTTTCACAGCAGTTTGGCTCGGTGATCTAATGTAAGAGAGGATCACTACAGAGGCAACTGAAAGGACAATTTCAATCCTAGCGACAAAGGAGCCTATGAATTTCCTGGATTAGTCAATGGATGATTCACAGCATTGAAAAGAAATCAACGGCTATCTTTGCATTCCAGGAGGATCCTCGGTTGTTCTCAGTTTCAGAACAGCCAGATGTTAAGCTGAAATGGTGACTGGAAGGTTAAAATTACAGTGACCAAGTGGCACTTGGTCCAGTAGTGTGAACTGGTCATGATTTCCACGCATGCGCCAATGAATTGGAACACTGTGCTGTTGTTTGTTCAAAAGGAAGTCAATTGGTCTTGGAACAGAGTCTGAAAGTCCAGCGTGATCGCACTGGTGATAAAAACCTGCTGATCCAGTAGTCTTGACTCTGCTGGAGGCACATCATGCATAAGAAACTGGGGTTGTTAGCAGCTTTCTTGTTGACTGTTGAGAGCTCACTTTGAGCTCCAAACTAATCACGATGGACATCACATTGGTGCACACACTAGTGTGCACAGTGACCAGCTATAGCTGTGCAAGATGCCAATCCTTTTCTTATTCTTTCATGTGCTCTGGGCATTGCTGATATAGCTAGTATTTTTTTGTCTATCCCTAAGTGCACTTGAAAAGGAGGATTATTTATGAATGTGGATTTATTTAATTTCAGGGCATCATTTTAGAGCTCCAGCTTACACCACCTCTAGACCTCACTCAGTAACAGGGAGGACCTGCACCACCAGTGCTATTGAAAGAGATCACCAATTACCTCCAAGTTAATTGGTCAATTTCTTCTGTCTGTCGCAATTCCACAGGTGCTTGCTGCATTCTAAAATTGCTAAAATCCGCAGGGATTAGTTTGGCAAGAGCTGAAGCACATTTTAGTTTTTCATAGGCCAGTCACTGATGGAGAATGAACAGAGGACAGGTAGAGCAGGAAGTTGCTAAAAGGGGGAAGGGGAATGGGGAGGTGGAGGAAGTGTTGGAAGACAAGTCTTATCAGGAAGCCATGTGCACTTAGGATGTTCAGGCTGTGATTCACCCATCTGAACCACATTGATGGACAAAGTCATGCCAGTGCAGTTGTGATATTGCAGATTTTTAAGGAAAAACAAGTTGTTAAAAGAACATTTCTGTTTTAAAATCCATAAATTTAGAAATAACTTCTAAACTAAGTTTTAAAAGCCTTTTTGAGGTGGAAATCTGAGCAGACTGTTACATTGGCCTGGTTCAAAGACAATTGAACTGCATTATCGCAGCATCAAACACAAAGGGAAATATTTAGAATACAGTTAAACCGTGGACAATACAATAGGTCCTTTTGAATTAAATCTTCTGGGGAGAGAAAGGGGCCTCAGTGTAATTAAAGTTATTGACTAGTAGAAGAATGGTTTGTTTGAAATTAACAGAGTGCTTTGGTTAAAGGCAGAGTGCGAAAGCTATTTTGTGCAGAATCCCTAAGAACTCTGCAGTCAGCACCGGAGGGACTTACAAATAAGCTTCTACAAATTCATGGACCACTCTGACAGCATGCCTGGTCTGTGGCCTTGGGAATACCACAAGAACGATTATGGTGCTAGGGTCATATTTGAGCATGGACTGAAAAAAAAAATGAGAGAATGTACAAGTAACATTCAGGATAAATTGGTCATTTTCAGGTTGAAAAATGTAACTTGAGTGGCTGGAGGTGGAGTGCCACAGGAATCAGGTCTGAACTTCAATTACTTATAATGACTGGGATGAAGAGATTGAGGGCACTGCAATGTAAATTTGCTGATGACATAAGTAGAAGCAGGAAAGCGAGCTGTGAGAAGCATAGCAAGAGTCTTCAAAGGGAGTTGGATAAGTGAGTGGACAAGGATTTGGCAGCTTTGGGACAAAAGGATGTGTGAAGTTGTCTACTTTGGTCGGATTAAAGGAAAAGGATAGGTCAGAGTTAGGATAGAGTAGGTGGGTGGGGAGAAATGGGTGTTTTAGGGTGGAGCTGAGGAGACGGAGTGGGGATGTGAGGGGGAAGGGAGAAGAGGTGAGGGGGAAGGGAGAAGAGGTGAGGGGGAAGGGAGTGGAGTGGGCGATGGGGGAGGGGCCTGTTGTGGTTCGCGGGCTTTCCACGCGGCCGGCACGCGCTCCCTGGGAGTTTGTGGCGGCGCCAGCGGTGGGACCGTTATCCTGGGAAGATGCCGGTCGTGTCGAAAGGAGACGGGATGCGGGGTCTCGCTGTTTTCATCTCGGACATCAGAAACTGTGAGTGACCGGGGCCTAGAATCGGCAGTTCAACCGGGAGGGTCCCGTTCTCCCTATCATTCCCCCCACCCCAGCTCCAGGGTCAGCTCTTCCCCTTTCCGGCGTAAAAGAAAATTGTCTTTACCCCATCGATGGCTGACTAGTCTGATCACTCAGTTGATGCCAGGTTTGGAGGGACTATTTTACAGGAGAGATTGAGTAGCTTGGCCCTGATTAGGGGATTTGATGGGGTAGATGTGGAAAGGTTGCTTCCTCCTATGGGAGAGTCTGCTAGCAGCAGGCATAATTTCAGAATAAGTGGTTGCACATTTAGGACAGGGATGAGAATTTTTTTTTCTCTTAGATGATTATGAATCTTTGGAATCCTTTATTGTAGAGTGCTGTCAATGCTGGATCATTAAGGCTTAGACAGACAGACTTTTAATCAGTAATGGGTATCAAGTGGAACTGGACATTGTCAGATCAGCCATGAACATAGAATCATATAGTACAGAAGGGGCCCATCAGCCCATTGAGTCTGCACTGATAAAAAAACTATTGTAAATCTTCACTAGTTCCACATTCCAACATTTGCCTTCGGCCTTGAATGTTACAACATTTTAAGTGTTCAAACAAGTACTTTATAAGGGTTTGTGAGGTTTCTTGCCTCAGCTACTCTCCCAGGCAGTGCATTCCAGATCCTCACCACCCTCTGGGTGAAAAACATTTCCTCAAATCCGGTCTATCCCATTTTGCCTTTCACCTTAAAATTATGCCCCCTTGTAGCAGGTCCTTCAGCTAAGAGGAAGAGCTGCGTCCTCTTCACCCTATCCACGCCTTTCATAATCTTATACACCTCCATCTCAGCCTTCTCTGCTCTCAAGTAAACAACTTGAGTCTGTTCAGTGTCTTTTCATAGCTAAATGATCGAGAATGATATGTCTACAGAGTCAGTTTGGGTTGAGGTCCAGAACAAGAAAGGAGCAGTCACTCTGTTGGGGGTTTTTTACAGACCCCCTAATAGTTGCAGAGAAGTGGAGGAGCGAATTGGGAGGCAGATACGGAAAAGGTGCAGAAGTCACAGGGTTGTAGTCATGGGTGACTTCAACTTTCCAAATATTGATTGGAAACATTTTAGTTGTAATAGTTTAGATGGAGCAGATTTTGTCCAGTGCGTTCAGGAAGGATTCCTGGCAGACCATGTAGACAGACCAACACGAGGAGAGGCCACTTTGGATTTGGTGCTTGGCAATGAACCGGGCCAAGTGTTAGACCTGTTGTGGGAGAGCATTTTGGTGGTAGCGATCATAACTGTTACTTTTACAATAGTCACGGAAAAGGATAGGTGCATACAGCAGGGTAAGGTTTATAATTGGGGGAAGGGTAATTACAATTCCGTTAGGCAAGAACTGGGTAACATAAAATGGGAACAGATGCTGTCAGGGAAGAGCACTATTGAAATGTGGAGATTGTTTAAGGAATGCATACTGCGTGTGCTCGATATGCTTGTCCCTAGCAGGCAGGGAAGATGTGGTCGCGTGAGGGAGCCTTGGTTCTCGAGAGGTCGGACGACTGGTTAAGAGGAAGAAGGATGCTTATGTAATGTTTAGGAAACAAGGATTGGAAAAGGCTCTAGAGGGATATAAGTTATCCAGAAAGGAGCTGAAGAAAAGGCTTAGGAGAGCTATAAGGGGGCATGAGAAAACCTTGGCAGATAGGATCAACAAAACTCCAAGGCTTTTTACACGTATGTGAGGAATAAGAGAATGACCAGAGAAAGGGTAGGGCCGATCAAGGATTGGAAAGGGAATTTGTAAACAGAGCCTAAAGAGAAAGGAGAGGTCCTTAATGAATACTTTTCTTTGGTATTCACAACTGAGAGGGACCTAGTTGTAGAGGAGGACATTGTGAAACAGGCTGGTAGGCTAGAGGAGGTGGATGTTAGTAATGAAGATGTACTAGGAATTTTGAGGAACTTGAAGATAGATAGGTCCCCTGGGCCTGATGGGATTTATCCAAGGATTCTATGGGAAGCGAGGGAAGAGATCGCAGGGCCTTTGGTGATGATCTTTTTGTCCTCACTGTCCACGGGTGTAGTGCCGGAAGATTGGAGAGAGGCAAACGTCATTCCCTTGTTCAAAAAAGGGAATAGGGATAACCACAGAAATTACAGGCCAGTTAGACTTCAGTGGTGGGCAAATTATTGGAAAGGGCTCAGAGATAGGACTTATGATCACTTGGATAGGCACTGTTTGATTCATGATAGTCAGCATGGATTTGTGAGGGGTAGATCATGCCTCACGGACCTTATTGAATTCTTTGAAGAGGTGACCAAACACGTGGATGAAGGTAGAGCAGTGCATGTGGTATACATGGATTTAAGTAAGGCGTTTGATGAGGTTCCCCATGGTAGGCTCATGCAGAAAGTAAGGAGGCATGGGATAGGGGGAAATGTGGCAGATTAGATTCAGAATTGGCTGACCCTTAGAAGACAAAGGGTGGTAGTGGATGGAAAATATTCAACATGGTGCTCAGTTACGACTGATGTACCACAAGGATCTGTTCTGGGTCCTCTTCTATTTGTGATTTTTGTAAATGATTTTGATGAAGGAGTGGAAGGGTGGATTAGTAAGTTCGCGAATGATACGAAGGTGGGTCGAGTTGTGGATAGTGCGGAGGGCTGTTCTAGGTTACAAAGGGACATTGACAGGATGCAGAGCTGGGCTGAGAAGTGGCAGATGGAGTTTAACCCTGAAACGTGTGAGATGATTCATTTTGGAAGGACAAACTTGAAAGCAGAATACAGGGTTAACGGAAAGATTCTTGGCAGTGTGAAGGAGCAGAGGGATCTCGGGGTTCATGTGCACAGTTTTCCCTGAAAGCTGCCATCCAGGTGAATAGAGTTGTTAAGAAGGCGTATGGTGTGTTAGCTTTCATTAATCGAGGGACTGAGTTCAAGAGCCGTGAAGTTATGCTCCAGCTGTACAAAAGCCTGGTTCAGCCACATCTGGAGTATTGTGTCCAGTTCTGATCGCCTCATTACAGGAAAGATGTGGAAGCATTGGAAAAGGTGCAGAGGAGATTTACCAGGATGTTGTGTGGAATGGAGGGAAGGTCTTGTGAGAAAAGGTTGAGAAAGCTAGGGCTTTTCTCTTTAGAATGACGAAGGATGAGAGGTGACTTGATAGACGTGTATAAATGATCAGAAGTCTAGATAGAGTGGACAGCCAAAGACTTTTTCCTCGGGTGCCGGTAGCTATTACGAGAGGGCATAGTTTTAAAGTGAGTGGAGGTAGATACAGGGGAGACGTCAGAGGTAGGTTCTTTACTCAGAGAGTGGTAGGGGTGTGGAATGCATTGCCGGAGAGGGTAGTGGAGTCGACTTCATTAGTGGCATTTAAGCGGCTATTAGATAGGCATATGGATGATAGTATAAGGTAGGGGTGTAGGTTAGATAGACCTTAGGTTTCGGGTAAAAGTTCGGCACAACGTTGTGGGCCGAAGGGCCTGTACTGTGCTGTACTGTTCTATATGCTATGTTCTATGCTAAACTGCTGCATCCTCATGTACATCCTCTTCCCCCATCCAGTGTAATCACATCCTATAGTGCAGTGACGAGAACTACACACAGTACCCTGGCTGTGGCATGATGAAAATTCTACATAGCTCCACATAACCTCTTTGCTCTTGCAATCTATACCATGACTGATGTCCCATATTCTTTCTTAACTGCCCTGTTAACTTAGCCAGCCACCTTCAGGGATTTGTGGACAATCACCCAAAATTCCTCTGTTCCTCTGAGCTTCCTAATGTCTTGCCATTCATTGAGTACTCCCTTGTCTAGTTACTTCTTCCCAAATGCATCACCCCTCTCTTGTTAAGGTCAGCTTCCACCTGCTACTGATCTGCCCATCTGACCAATTCATTTATATCCTCCTTTAACCTAAAACTTTCCACCTCACTCGACCACTGGTCAATTCTTGTCTCATCCAAAAACTTTTTATCAGCCCCCTGACATTTTCATCGCTATCATTTAAGAATATCACAAACAATAAGGGACCCAGCACTTATCATTGTGGTACACCACTGCACATCAGGCTGCGGTCACACAAACACCCTTACACTACCACCCTCACTGAATGATGGAGCAGATTTGATGGGCTGAACACTTCTGCTCCAATATCTTATACTGTTAAGTCACGATTGTGATGGAATTCACTTCATTACCTGGAGGAACCGGGTAAAGGAATTGACCCCGACTGAATGTTGCAGACTGGTACTTTCCAAGCTCTAGGACTACATGCTGAGGGATGCACTAAAGCTTGAGGCAGCTGCTGCCAAGGTGCAGTGGGGAAAGACCACTGTCTGAGGTCCTTCTGCCAAAGTTAAATAGGGGTCCATACAGTTATCAGACCCTCCTGGTGCTCAAATGCATGTAAATATAATCTTGTTCAAATAAGAGATGCCCTTGGTTTGTGTGTTGGACAGAGTCAGCTCCTACGTTTGTTTGTTTCCTTGATACGCTCCTATACAGAACCGAACTTCATTTGTGACTATGTATGTATAAGGATATTTTTTATGAATAAAGTATATTTTTGAAATTAAAAAAGGCCTGGAGGAGCCAGGTTATTAGAATCCATATGTATAACCCCCACATCCCGGCAGCAGATGTCCTAACCTACCAATCCTGCACTGTAGGGATTCTGTGAGACTGGAAGGTTTGAGATGGGCGGCACGGCGGGTCAGTGGTTAGCACTGCAGCCTCACAGCACCAGGTTCGATTCCAGCCTTAGGCGACTGTCTGTGTGGAGTTGGCACATTCTTCCTGTGACTGCATGGGTTTCCTCCCGCAGTCCAAAGATGTGCAGGTAAGGTGGATTGGTTGTGCTAAATGGCCCACAGTGTCTAGGGTGGGGATGCAGAAATAGGGTAGGGGTGGGTCTGGGTAGGATGTTATTTGGGGGCTCAGTGTGGATTCGATGGGCTGAATAGCCTGCTTTCACACTGTAGGGATTCTATGATTCTATGTATGTACAGCTAGAAGGAGGCAGCACCCACCTAGTGGATCCCTTTGGAATCTGGACCAGCAAGCAGCAAGTCTAGGTGATCTTGAAGGTGGTCGCTAGCAGGAACATCCTCTGCCTGCCTTCCAGCTATGTGGTCAGAGGGAGTCGAGGCTACCTGACGTATGCGGTAGAGTGTGCTGAACCTGCGGGAGATCAGGGCACATGGCAGCAGACTGCAAAGTGACCCTTCATAGGAACTGCCAACAGGAGGGGCACCTGATAAGGACTGCTGGAGTCCAAGAGCTCCAACCTGTGTAGGGAAGCAGGCCACCTGTACAAGGCCTGTCTAAGATGTTGCGGGGAGGGGGTGGTTTGTGGGTGGCAGTGTGCCACGTATTCTCAGATGGCCGGAGAACTGTGGACCCTGAAAGGATGTAAGGTGCCACCCTCCAGCAAGAAAACTAAAATGAGGGGCACCAAAAGGAGGGACAGGCTGGAGAGGAGTCATAGTTCATAGAAATGTACAGCAGGGACCTCCACTTGAACAGACAGTCACTGGAGGAGGATGAAGTGAAGGAGGCGGGGGAATGGATACCAGTGAGAAACAACTGGAAAGGGGAAACATTTTGGGCCTGTTGGTTCCACAGCAAAACAGTGAGAGGAAGCTGCATGATGGACACATAAGCAGCCCCTCTGATGATGACGTGGAGAAGGACGGCCACCAACAAAAACAAAACAGGCACAGCATCACGAGGGAGAGGGAGAGGAGCACTTCCCAACCCTGAAATGCTGGATGTTGTGAGGGGCCTGGTGAAACTCAAGCTCCAGCTGCTGGGAATTGAGGGGTACTCACTACATTACAGCTCTGGGCAACTTGGTGCAGCAATGCTGCAAATAAGGAGCAGAGCACCCCAGTCTGTTTGTTGGACTCAGAATTGGACCTTCCTAGCTTCTTTCTCATGCAACAACACCGGATCAGGGCAAACCCCCAGGGAGGAACAGGACGGCTACCTGACTGCTGAGAGTTTCCAGCAGTTTGCCCACACTGCAGGGATGCGGGGAGTCCCCCAGTGTCAAGACTGCAGGTGAACGGACATTGGATCTACGGGTAATTCTATAAACTCTCATAATGGGTTTAAAGTTGCCAGTATTAATGTGCGTAGTGTTAAATCCACTACATGCTGTGTTTTCCATGTTGGGTTACCTGGCCAACGTCAAAGCAGACCTCCTGTTTCTGCAGGAGTGGGGATAATGCACCTCAGCAGCTACAGGAAATGGTCGAACTTATGGGCCCACGGTCCTTTGATTTGGGCGGGAATGGGGAATGATTGCCATTCCTCAGGCCTGGGTATTCAGATGCGAGGAGGCACCTTCACCATCTCCAAAGTTAAGGAGGTGGTGGGTGGGTGCCTTCCCGCTCCCAACAGTAAGGCTCCCTTGAGACTAATTAACATGTACACCCAGGTGGTAAAGAGTCAGCGGCTGGCTGTCCTGCAGCAGCTCCCACTGCTGCTGATGATATCTAGGCCGGTCATTCTGGTCAGAGACTTCAACTGCATCATTAATGAAGATGGACGATCCGGAGGGCCTGACAACCAACTGGACGCCGCATTCAGATTCCTGATGGGAGCAGTTAAGGTTGCCGAGCTGCATGTCATCTTTAGTACCCCCGCACATGGAGTGCAGCATAGAGACACCTGATTGTGGCCTGACAGGCTCAAGGATCAATTTCCTGTTTGTGTCCTCATGTTCTTGGTCAAGCCAGTGTTCCTTAATGACCACTGCCTCCTGCTGGCAACTGTCGCCTACAGAATGACCATCCGGCCAGCAAGGGAACATGGAAGCTGAACGTGAAACTGTTGACCCCAGAAAACATTGAGAAGAACTGTGAAGCCCCTTGTGGACATGGTCCATCTTTGACCTCCAGGTGATGTGGACGATAGCTCGAGTAAGCGCAGTGTGCAGTTTCAGTGAATAAGCCAGACCTGCACCATGTACAACACTAAGCACACCTCACACCTGATGACCAGGTTTTTACCTGCAATGGAGACAGAGCAGTGCTCCCATCTGCCCAGATTCTGCCTCACCTTGGTAATACTCTCCCAGGTTTTTATGCATATTCAGGCCCCTCCGAACCGTATTCACAGTACCTTCAGATAATCTGACCTGATGGTGAAGGGTGTAAAGAATTGTTCAGTCCAGTTCCTAAAGAACATGGTCTTGGTCTTGTTCTTGCCTCAATTTACCTTGGCTTCCAAGGCCAATTTGAACTGGTTGCAGATGCTCATGAGTCTATGCACTGACAATGGATCCAAGCAGAAAATGGTGACATCATACATGTACAGGGAGGCTTTGACCTGCAAGCTCCGCTACTCTGAATCGTCACCCCTCTCAGGCTCACACCCTCCTGGTGGACTCGGCAGAAGGCTGTATACAACACATAAATGAGGCAGGAGAGACTAAGCAGGAATCTGGGTGTGGTGTCCAGTTTGCTGTCAGCCCCTCTGGATCATCTAGCCACGTGGATGATGCAAATGAAGTGTCCAGCCCGAATGACTGGCCTGAACATTGCCAGCAGCATGGAGAGCTACTGAAGGATGGCCAGGCACTTGCTCTTTACTGCAGAAGCAGAGTTGGCAGCTAATTCGTTGCTCCACTTAGTGCTTTGCCATCGACACAAGACCTTGATAGGTAGAATAGAAAGATAGAAACTTCTTCCAGAAAGAACATACGGCGGTGTGCACAATCGCTAGTTATTCAATCTTTGATTAGTAACAGTGTATGAGCAGCAGGAGCAGCAGATGGACAACAGAATCAAAGGTTTAAGATGAAATTTCTTCCCCAACCCCAAGCATTGTGTTCAACCTTAACTCTACAGATCTCTCACATGTACACATGGAACTCAGGAAAGTAATGTTTGTATTGAAGTTTCATCGTGTACATTCCTCTTGAACAAATACTTAGCCTTGTATTCTTCCTCACAGGCAAAAGCAAAGAAGCAGAAATAAAACGAATTAACAAAGAATTGGCAAACATCCGGTCCAAGTTTAAAGGTAAGCTTCCAGAGCAGAGGATGATAGCAGCATAGAGACTATTGTAATGCACCAGGTACTTTAAAAGCAAAAGTTCAAATTGGAACTAGCACAAGCGAAAGAAAAGTCTCCAGGAAAGTTATTGATTTTCCAGGAATTTGCTTTGGGCCAAAAGTGGTCCTAATCCCCTCCAGTGTGTTTGCCCCTGCATGTTCTCTCTATTGACTTGATAAGCTTTAATTGAGAAACAATTGCTACTCATTTCATAATCTCATTCCCATCTAGTGCTGGACCATGTGATGCCAGAAGAACGACCCACATGGGTTAGACACAGTAAACCTTACTGTACTCTTTTAAAGTGAAAGTAAAGCTTCCTCTGCATGCCCCCATCAAACACCCCTGGGACAAGTACAGCATGGGGTTAGATATAAAGATCCCCTGACAATGCTCTCATCAAATGTTCCCAGGTAGCACTCTCAGAAGAGGTACAGCACAATGTTAGATAGAGTAAAGCTACCTCTACTCTTTTAAATAAAAAGTAAAGCACTCTCAGCACTGTCCTTATCAGACACTCCTAGATAGGTCCAGCACAGGGTTAAAAACTGAGTGATGCTCCCTCTACTCTTGTAAATGAAAAGTAAAGCTCTCTCTACGCTATCCCAATCAAATACACCCTGCAGAGAGATAACACGAGGTACAGCACAGAGTGAGAGAAGAGTAAAGCTGCTTCTACTCTTTTAAACTGAAATCAAAGCTCACTCTACACTATCCTCATCAAACCCTCTCAGCAGAGGGACAGCACAAGGTTAGATACAGAGTAAAGTTACCTCTACTCTTTTTAAACTAAAGGTAAAACACCTTTGACAATGTCTCAATCAGACACTCTCTACACCAATTTGCATGTGACTCAGGTAATAATCTAGAGATTATAACAGTTGAGGTTCTGCTATTCAGTTGAGCGCCTAGCTCTTCATACTTTGTGCAGATCTTCTGTTTTAGTTCTTTCATTAGTATCTCTGTGGATCACAATGACTGCATCCTCCCCTTCCCACTACGAGTTCCTTTCTGTCCCTGAGCAGGTTTTCCAAATCCTGACACTGGGCAGGCAACACAGCCACATGGACTCTTGCTGTCTGCAGCATGGTGTCACCCATTTCTCCCTCCCTACCCTTCACCTTCACTTCATTATAATTTACTACTACATTCCTTGTTGCTTCCCCTACTTGAATGGCTTCCTGTATCGCAGTGCCATGACCAGTTAGCTCATCCATGCTGCAGCTCCTATTCTCATCCAAACAGGCTGAGAAAACCACAAACCTATTGGACAATTCCAGAGACTGACACTCCTTCAATTGTTCCCTGTGTGTTTACTTACTGGACTCATCCACAGTCACATCAACCTGCTCCTGACCACTGAACAAACCAGAAGATCCTATACTATGTGGTGTGGCTTTTTCCTAATACAAAATATCCAGATAACATTCCCCATCCCAGACACGTCACCGTATTTGTTGTTGAGACGTCACCTTATTAAATCTGAGCTGCAGTTGCTCAAACTTCCAACACATTACTGCAGATGTGGATTATGATGGAATCCAGGAGCTCCTGCGTGCTACAGTCTTGACACATCACTAGTCTTGCCTGTCTTAATGAGTTTTAACTATGTAATTATACTTAACTTAAAATTTATGTTTTGATATATTTTATTAATTTTACAACCAAACGGATACTGGTGTTAAAATTTAAGAATAGATAAGACCTTAAATGATTAACAGAGACTCCCTAAACAGCTAGCTCCTTTCTCTGGGTTAGAGCAAGAACCAATTCCAATCAGCTTCAATGAATTTAGCTCTATCTCTGACTACTTTCCTCAGTGTTCTCACCTTGGCCCCTCTTCTATGTGATGATGACTGCCTTTCACAAATCAACATGTGTGATAGAATACTCCCCAATTGCTTGGATGGGTGCATCTCCAACAACACTCAAGTAGCTTGACACCATCCAGGACAAAGCACCCCCTTGATTTGAACTCCACGGAACTCATTGAATATTTACTGCCATCACCAAGGAAGCACAGTGGCAACAATGTGTATGAAAAGCAGTGTTAGTGAGCTGATCAGGAATGGTGAGGTCTATGAAACAGAAATAGGGGATCGGGGAAGGTGAGGTTATGAAACGGGATGAGTGAGGGTGAGATCTGTGAGACAGAGGTAGGGAGGGTGAGGGGCATGAGATACTGTTAGTGAGGGGATCAGGGAGGGTGAGATGTATGAGACAGAGATAGTGAGGGGATCAGTGAGGACGAGGTGTATGAGACACTGTTAGTGAAGGGATCAGGGAAGGCAAATTGTATGAGACGCTGTTGGTGTGAGGATGAGGGAGAGTAAAGTGTATGAGACACTGTGCGTGAGGGAATACAGGTGATGAAGGTTTAAGAGGCTTTGGGAACTCTCGGCTGCAGGTTTTCACTTTGCTGCAACTACCTATGGAATTTGCATTTCTTCACTGGGAACCTGCCCGATGTGCTGCCAGTCTGGCCGTTTCTGCTCTGTAGAGGTTTGGAACATGGTCGTAGGTAAACGTCACTGTGTTGTTGCGGTGGCCATCTGGTGTAAGGGGCTCTTGCTGGAAGTTGTGCAGTGACTGCTGTATAGGACTTGTATAATTTACATTTCTTCTCCATTTTTATGTGCATTTTTATAGTCAGGTCAGTCAGGGTACCACATTTACATTTTCCTCATGTGTTTCAGGCATTGTTTTGTGTGGGAAGTGAATACATTTCAAAATGACCTGTTTAAGAAGTGTTCTTTGCTTTGATTTGTAGGTGACAAAACATTGGATGGCTACAACAAGAAAAAATATATCTGCAAACTTCTGTTCATCTTCCTCCTTGGTCATGACATTGATTTTGGTCACATGGAGGCAGTTAACCTGCTCAGTTCAAATAAATATACAGAGAAGCAAATTGTAAGTGGGACAGCAGTCACTGCCTTTTTATGGTCGAACAGATTATCATCATAATAATAGTAAGCACAACAGAAACTCTGTCTTTCAAAAGCATGGCACTGAATGGTAGTGTTTGGCAGGGAATCTGTACCTTGACAAGTACAAGGTGGCATTTTGTGTGGGCATGCTTGGTTATGATTATTCCTGTTGCATAGATTTCTGATATCCTGTGAATCCACAGGGGAATGTATGTTCTTTTTCTGCCTGTTCACTTTGTGACAATGTGGACTTGCATTAGGCTCTTGCAAGTCCAAAACCACATGCAGAAAGGTCAAGGCGGTAAGGTGATGGTGATAGTGACATACAATCACGTGAGCTTCTTGGTGCATTTAATGTGCTGGGTTAGAACATAGAACATAGAACTGTACAGCACAGTACAGGCCCTTCGGCCCACGATGTTGTGCCGAACTTTTACCCTAAACCTAAGGACTATCTAACCTCCACCCCTACCTTATACTATCATTCATATGTCTATCTAATAGCCGCTTATATGCCCCTAATGAGGCCGGGATGGTGGATTAGGTGGGTTATAGGAGGATGGGTCTGGGTGGGATGCTCTGAGGGTCAGTGTGGCCTTGTTGGGCCAAAGGGCCTGCTTCCACACTGTAGGGACTCTATTCTTATTCTTAAATATCGTAGTTCCAAGTACTGACCCATGCTGTAAGTTCATCTGCCTTATTTCTGATACTTCTAGCATTGAAGTATACACACTTCAAACCATCCCTGTGTCCACAATTACGCTTCATCGACCGCATTTCTTTATTAACAACCTCACTTCCTATGGTGTCTGTTGGAAGGCTGAGTACCTCATCCTCTGAATTACAAATCTGGTTCCCCTGTTAGGTTGTTGAATGAAGACTAACAATCCTATAAACAAGCGTTGCCCATTTAGCATAACCCTCGTGCATAAAAAGCTTTTACAAACAGATGTCAGACCGATTCTGCAGCTGTCATGGACCATCCTCCTGACTGCTTTGTAGACAGAGAGGGGATTGAGGTCCTGCAGGCAGAAATTTTCAAATGATATGCTAAATAACAAGAGGTGATAGAAGGAAAATCTTCTTCTGCAGCGAATGTTTAAGATCTAGATTGCATGACCCGAGAGTGGATTCAGTCATAGTTTTCAAAGGGCATTGGATTATTAGCTGAAGAGAAAACATTTGTAAAGCTACAGGGAAAAGGTGGGTGAGACTAATTGAGAGAGTATTGAAACAAGCTGGCATTGACCCAGCCAGCCGAACGGTATCCTATGCTCCAGCGTTCTGTGATTTTTTTTTTGCCGTTTTTCCCAATTGTGATAACGTAAATGTCCGAGAGGTTTTAGTCTGTGTTAGTGGAAACATGTGGGATGATTGTTGATGCCTGTTTGTGCTAGACACAATAATGGCTTGTGCTCCTGAGATGTTCTGTCCAAATCTGTGCTCCCACTCCCCGACAGTCTCTTTTGCTGTCACCTGCTGCTCCCTTAGCCTGTCCTTAATTCAAGAACTCTATCACTCTCCATCTTGTCATTCTTTCTCACTCAGTAATTCACAAATCTGTATTCCACAATCATCAACCTTCACCCTTCTGCATTTCACCCCATGCCTCAACCTAATCATCTCTTTTCGATACCACCCATTACAATCATGCACGGAGTTCTTGTAGTTCTCTTGAAATCTGTGATCATGCCTCCTTTCATGTTATGCCCCAGGATTTTCTACAACGATACTGGATCCCTAAAGCTTTCTCCTATGCCAGTCTTCCAAGAACCATAAACCTGGATTCACATAGAAGGGAATCCCTTCCCAGCTTTCTGAACTGTCCCTGTTGTTGTGAAGACCCAGATTCACCATCTCAGTATGGCTCTCCAACTCCCCATTGCTCCCTTTTGGCTTTATATTCTAGGCCTGGAACAAAAGAAGTAAAATGACAGATAAATGAGCTTTTAATAAAAGCCATGGAGATTGTGAACATTTTGTCTGAACTTAACCTTAAGCAGTCTTTAACACTCATACAATGCTTAGAATAATTCAAATTGCAATTTTACAAATAATGGCAAAACTCTGAATTACATGTAACCAAACAGGGCATCTGGTTACTCCCAGTGAGCAAGCAGCATGAGATCGACCAGTGAATACAACAAATTAGTCTTTTAATATCAGATTAAATTAATTATCATTAATCTGTAGGTGAGTCTGAGTGACAGGCTCCTCATTCTTTGGTGAGTAATGATCATCCATCCAATGTTCCTGCTTAATGCCTTTGTGAAGACTGCAGGATGGATTTAAAGACCCCTAGCTCAGAGTCAGTGAGTTTGAGAGATGCCAGAATATAATGATCAAGCTGACAGTGTCAGGTGCTAATAAACAGGTTCTGAACTTAATGTACCTTTTCTCTAACTGTCTCTTAAATAATTGCAGGGTTACCTTTTTATCTCGGTCTTAGTGAATTCAAACAGTGAGTTGATGCATTTAATAAACAATGCCCTCAGGAATGACCTGGCCAGCCGTAACCCTATCTTCATGGGCCTGGCCCTACACTGCATCGCAAATGTTGGAAGCAGGGAGATGGCAGAAGCTTTTGCTGGTGAAATTCCAAAAATACTGGTTGCTGGGTAAGTGCCACTGTGAAAATAAATTGCATTTTTGAAAGGGCAGATTTTATACCCCGTGTATAATATTTTGCAACAGTGCTATCACAGTGTATGGATCCAGATATCTGCCTTGCTTTATCATTGACTTTGTTTTGTGTCGGCATATTGCCTTAAACAGAATTGAAAAGTAGTAGTAGTCTGTTACCTGGAATATTTAGTCATGCATTGCTTCACTTATTTTTTCCAAAAACTTTGAGTTTCAAAAAAAGAAGTTTATTTTTAGTTAAGTCCTTGCCCCTCACCCTGTTCTCATCATCTTCAGTGTATGCTGGGTTAGGATTCCACAGACACAAGTTGATTTGCAGTCGGACCTTTATGTATGAGGCCAGATATTGTCAGTGATTGCTGAGGGAAGAGGGACAGCCAAGATCAGTCCTGTAGTAGTTCCTGTGCTCACTGCATTTTTTTTCTCTTCCCTGGGAAACACTGGCAAGTGATCAGGATTGGGAATGCTTCTTCCCTGTTATAGTGCTATCATAGTGCAGTAAGACTAACTGTGGCTCCACACCATTCTCCAATAAGGTGTTGCTGTGAAGAGACTGTACCCATAACCTGCTGGTCTATATGGCTGAGCTAAAGAGGTGAGGTGAGAATGACTGCTTGTGTCAGTAATAAAAATGGAGTCAATGGGAATCAGGGAAGCTCTCCACTCATTGGAATCATACCTGGCACATAGGAAGATGGTTGTGGTTGTAGAATGGCTAAAAGGGGCATGAAATGTCCTTGGCAAGTTGGATTAAGGAAAATCCCAAGGCGTTTTACACATATATTTTACATCTAGGAGCAAAAGCGTAATTAGGGAAAGAGGAGGTTCACTCCAGGACAGAGGAGAGAATTTATGTATCAAACTAGAGGGATATGGGTGAGGTCCTTAATGAGTACTTTGTATCGGTATTCACCAAACGGGAGGACATGGATGATGTTTAATGTTTTAATGAAGATTTGTAGCTCGGGTTGTGGTTTGAGTTGTTGTTTGGTTTGCCGAGCTGACTGGTTTTCATGCATACATTTCGCCTCCCTTCTAGGTGACATCATCAGTGCTGTCTAGTCTCTGTTGAAGCGCTTTTGTTCTGTCCCGGTCTGAATTTATATGGTTCGGTCTAACATCGTGGGTAGTCTTGTTTCTGGTTTTGTACTATAGTGTTTTATAGATGGGGTCAATTTCAACATGTATGTTTATCACACCGGTGGTTGAAAGCCAGGCCACCCTAGTAACCATCCCAGCACCTACAAACAGAGCTGTGTCAAGACTCTGCTTAAACGAGCGATGACAAACTGCAACACCCCGGAGCTGCACAAAAACGAAAAGGAACACCTATAAAATGTGTTTACAAGCAATGGGTATCCCAACAGATACGTCTACCAATTCCTGGCAAATAAATGGCACCAAGAAGACACTGTATGCCCCAACACCCTGGCCACCAGACCTTTATATTAGAAACACATCAGAACTGACTACCAAGACTCCTCCGACCTCTTGGAATAAGGATAGCACACAAACCAATAGCCACACTTCGCCAATTACTCTCAAAGATGAAAGACCCCATACCCACATGAGCAGGACAAGCGTGATATACAAAATGCCACGCAACAACTGCGAGAAACACTACTAGGACAGATGGCAGAAACTCACCACCAGGATACATGAACACTAACTCGCAGCAAAACAGCACGACCAACTTTCCTTCATTTCAATACGCTCCAACATAGAAGGACATCAGTTTAACTGGGACAAATTTACAGTACAAGCAAAACAAACACTAGCACGAGAATTCCAAGAGGCCTGGCTTTACTGAGGGAGGCAAAGGAGGAGATTGCTGGGGCCTTGACAGACATCTTTGTGTATTCTTTACCACACGTGATGTCTCAGAAGATTGGAGAATAGTCAGTGTTGTTCCTTTGTTTAAGAGGGGCAACGGGAATAATCCAGGAAATTACAGGCTGGTGAGCCTTCCGTCAGTAGGAGGGAAATTACTGGAGAAGATCCTTAGGTATATAATTTATTTGCATTTGGAAAAGAATGGACTTGTTAGGGATAGTCAGAATGGCTTTGTGCAGGGGCGATCTTGTCTCAATTTTATTGAGATTTTTGAGGAAATGGCAAAGATGACTTATGAGGGTGAGGTAGTGGATATTGTCTACATGGACTTTACTAAAGCCTTTGACAAGTTCCGTCAAGGTAGGCTGGTCTAGAAGATGAAATTACATAGGATCCACAGTCATTTGGCAAGTTTGATACAAAACTGGCTTGGTCATGTCGTTCCGACTGGAGATCTGTGACCTGTGGTACCGTAAGGATCAATGCTGGATGTCTGTAGTTTATAATATATTACAATGACTTGGATGAAAATGGAGGTGGTCTGATTAGTAAGTTTGCAGATGACAGTCAAGCTGGTGGAGTTGTGGATAGTGAGGAAGATTGTCGAAGGATTCAACAGGATATTGTCCAGTTGGAAAGTTGGGCAAAGAAATGGCAGATGGAGTTTAATCCTGACAAATGCGAAACGATGCATTTTTGGAGTTCAAATGCAAGAGGAAAGTATAGCAGGAATGTTGATATATGGAGGGATCTTGGGGTCTCTATCCCCCTGAAAGTTGCAGTACAAGTTGATATGATGGTAAAGAAGACGTGATTGCCTTCTTTGGTCAGGGCATTGAGTATAAAAGTTGGCAAGTTATATTGCAGCTATATACACTTTAGTTATGCCACATTTGGAGTATTATGTGTGGTTCTGGTCGCCACACTATGGGAAGGATGTGGAAACTTTGAGGGGTTGCAAAAGAGGTTTGCCAGCATGTTGCCTGGTTTGGAACAGCACTTTCCAAACCCATGGCCACGTCCATCTAGAGGAAGGAAGGTAGCAGATACATGGAAACACCAACCCCTGCAAGTTCCCCTCCAAACCACTAACAATTTTGACTTGGAAATATATTGCTGCTCCTTTAGTGTATTAGTTATAAGGAGAGGTTGGACAAATAGGGATTGTTTTTGCTATGCTGTCGGAGACTGAGGGGTAAGCTGATAGAATTATGTAAAATTGTGAGAGGCTTAGATAGGGTGGATAGTTGGAGTCTTTTTCCCATGGTGAAAATATCAAACACAAAGGGATATACATTTAAGGTGAGAGGGGGAAAGTTGAAAAGGCCTGTGCAAGGCAAATTTTTACACAGAGGCTGGTAGATACCTGGAACACATTGCCAGGGGAAGTGGTAGAAGGAGATACCTTGGTAACATTTAAGAGTCATTTGGACAGATACATGGACAGGCAGAAAATAGAGGGATATGGACCATGTGCAGGCAGAAGGGATTAGTATAGAGTGGCATCATGGTTGGTACAGACATAGTGGGCTGATGGGCCTGTTCGTGTGCTGTCCTGTTCTGTATTCCTCAGATGCTGAAGCAGTCCATGGTCTATTGCAACAAGACCTGGACACTATCCAGGCTTGGGCTGACACATGGCAAATAACATTCACAATGCACAATTACCAGGCAATAAACATACCAGGTAATGCGAAAGGGCTTGTTCCTGTGCTTTACTGTTCTTTGTTCTTTAAGAGAGAATCTAATCATTGTCATTTGACATTCAATGGCATTACCATCACTGAATTTCCCCCATTATCAGCATCCTGGGGATTACCATTGACTAGGAGCTCAGCTGGACTCACCATCTCAACACAGTGGCTACAAGATCATGTCAGAGGCTAGGAATTCTGCAGTGAGTAACTCACCTCCTGACTCACCAAAGCCTGTCCACCATTTTCAAGACATGTTCAGGAGTGTGATTGAATACTTCTCATGTGCTTGGATGAGTGCAGCCCCAACAACACTCAAGAAGCTTAACACCATCCAGGACAAAGCAGTCCACTTAACTGGCACCACATCCACCAACATCCACACCTTTCACCACCAATGTTCAGTAGCAGCAGTGTGTACTGTCTACATGGTGCTTTGCAGAAATTAAGCAAACATACTTAGACAGTACCTCCAAACCCATGACCATTTTCATCTAGACAGACAAGTTCAGCAGATACAGCAGAACATCACCACCTGCAAGTTTCCCTCCAAGCCACTCACCATCTTACTTTGGAATATATTGCTATCTCTTCAGTGTCACTGGGTCAAAACCCTTCCCTCCCTAGCATCACTATAGGTGTATCTACACCAAATAGACTGCCCTGGTTTAAGAAGACAGCTAACACCATCTTTTCAATAAATACTGGCCTAGCCCATATCTCCTTGATGAATAAACACAAGTGATGTGAGTCAGTAGAGAATACCCAGACTCTAACCTGTTTTTGTAGCCACGACATTTATATAATAGTTCCGTTAGGTTTCTGGTCAATAATGGTGGTCAGGATTTTAATAGTGGAGAATGCTGGTTGGAGTCTCTCTCACAAGTGATAGCCGTTCTGCTTATCAATCCTAGCCTGAGGAATTGCAAGTGGTACTAAACTTGTAAACGTTTGGTTACCTTCCGGGATATCTTGGGTAATTTCACTATCAGTCCTCCTTATTGGTATTAATCTAACTGACTGACCCTGTAAGAGACCACATCTTCTTACTTTATTTGGAGTACAGACTGAAAATGGTTACAGCTTTTTAAAGGGGAGGAAACAAGAAGTTGTTTATAGCTTTGGGAGAACAAATGCATATGACTGTTGCATAAGAAACAGTGTTACCTTTTGGGGAAGTTGAGTCCAGGCAAATTGACAATATTTTCTATGGGTTCAGGAGAGCTCAGCATAGCAACAAACGTTTGATTGTTTAGGTTGCAGTTTAACACAGACCCTGTGAGGAGATTGAAACAGAGAGAGAGAGAGAGAATTAGGGAGATTTCCAGAAGTCAGCTGCTTTTTCTCCCATTTTGTGTAATATTTCTCCAACTTTCTGTTGAAGAAAGGACTGCAAAACTGTTATTCCAAAAATTAAAAGAAATAATTTTAAGCCCAAAGACAACCAGAAAGATCTCAGATCCAACCAAACAGCAGCCAGTTATGGACTGACATTGCTGTGTAGATAACTTGGAGACATTATCAAAGAAGTTAAAGGATTATGAAACCAACCATGTAATTTTGTAACCTTGCAAAATAACCAACTTTGTAATTTTGGACTGGTGATACAGAGCTGTTCTTCTGGATTTTTTTTTTCTCTACTCAACATTTGTGTTTTGCCTGTTTTTCTTTGTGTCCGTGTGCATGCGTCAGTATTGTAAAATGAGTAAAGTTTAAGTTATGTAAGTTAGAAATCCCAAATGTTTACAGTTCTTGTTGAAGTCGAGTTACAGTAAAAGAGTTTTGTTTAATCGTCACTGAAGAAATCTGATGTAATTTGCTTTTGTCCTGGGCAGCATCAAGTCAGAGGTGATATATGATACATGGTAATTTGATTGACTCTTAACATTTGTCACAAATTTTAAACAGAAGATAGGCTCGATCTTGATGACCAATAAAGCGGCTTATTATATATTGCATAATAGCTAATTTTATTACATCTAAGACATATGTTCTGTTGTGAAACATCAGGCTCGACTGCAGAGTAAGTACACATTAGTAATTTAGTTCCATGTTATTTTCTCTTCTCTAGGTTAGCATGCTTGTTCTGTCCCTCTGCATGATGCTGAACGATAGCCAGAACAGTCTTAGAACGTAGACTGTACAGCGCAGGAATAAGGCCCTTTGGCCCACGATGTTGTGCTGAAGATGACGCCAAATTAAACTAATCCCATCTGTCTGCCCTTGGTCCATATCCCTCCATTCTTGCATATTCATGTGCTTATCTAAAAGTCCCTTAAACACCCTTTTCGTATCTGCGTCCACCACCACCCCGGCAGCATATTCCAGAGTCCTACCACTCTTTATGTAAAAAACTTGCCCCTCATATCTCCTTTGAACTTTCCTCCTCTCGTCCTTAGAATTAGACATTTCAACTCTGGGACAAAGATTCTGACCGTCACCTCAATCTATGCATCTCATAATTTTATAGAGTTCCATCAAGTCTCCCTTCAGCCTCTGCCACTTCAGAGAAAATAACCTGAGTTTTTCTAGCCTCTCCTTATAGCTCATTCCCTCTAATCCAGGCAGCATCCTGGTAAACCTCTTCTGTACCTGTCCAAACTTCCTGTAATGTGGTGACCAGAATTGAATACAGTACTCTAAGTGTGGTTTACAAAAGTCTTGTAAAGCTGCAACGTGATTCCTGAGTCTTATACTCAGTTCCCCGACCAATAAAGGCAAGCATGCCATATGCCTTCTTTACCGCCCTATCTACTTGTGTGGCCACATTCAGGGAGCTATGGACTTGAACCCCAAGATCCCTATGTGCATCAGTGCTGTTCAGGGCCCTGCCATTAACTTTATACTTTTCCTTAACATTTGATCTCCCAAAATGCAGCACTTCACATTTACTCGGATCAAACTCTATCTGCCACTTCTCTGTCCATATCTGCAATTGATTTATATGCTGCTGTATCCTTTGACAACGTTTCACACTATCCTTAACTCCACCAATCTTTGTATTGTCTGCAGACTTACTAACCTGCCTATCTACATTTTCGTCCAAGTCATTTACATATGTCACAAACAGCAGAGGTCCCAGTATGGATCCCTGCAGAATACCACTAGTCACGGACCTCCAGCCAGAAAAAGACACTTCCAGCACGACCCTCTGGCTTCTATGGGCAAACCAATTCTGAATCCACCCGGCCAAGTCACTGTGGATCCCATGTATCTTAATGTTCTGCTGAGCCTGCCATGAGGAACCTTGTTGAAAGTCTTGCTAAAATCCACATAAGCAACATTCCGGGCTCTACCCTCATTGATCACCTTTGTCACCTTCTCGAAAAATCCAATCAATTTAGTAAGACATGATCTGCCCCGCACAAAGCCATGCTGACTGTTCCTAATTAGGCCATGCTTTTCCAAATGTGCATAAGTCTTATCCCTAAAAATTCTCTCCAATAGCTTCCCAACCACTGAAGTGGAACTGCCTGGTCTACACTTTCTTGGATTATCCCTATTTCCCTTCTTGAACAGAGGAACAACATTAGCTACTTGCCAGACCTCCGGGACCTGTCCAGTGGCTAGTGAGGATCCAAAGATCTTGAATCTTAGCTAAATCCCTAGTCCACTATCTCTGTGCAGCTGCCCAAGTTCTTTTTAAGTTCTGATTCCTGCATTGGAAATACTGCAGCATCTTCAACCCCAAGATCAGCCTCTTAATGTCTGCGTTCTAAGCATTCAACACTGCTGCACAAATAATGCTGCTGCCTTATTGTTTTGAAGACTTAACCAGAAACACACTCCTATGAACCATTTTGCCCCTGTCCATCCTCATATGGAGACTTCATTTCATTTTAGAAAACACCGCTCCCTAATTGAAATAACAAGGTGTAGAGCTGGATGAACACAGCAGGCCAGGCAGCATCAGAAGAGCAGGAAAGCTGACATTTTGGGTCTGGACCCTACTTCAGAAGCCTTGAACTGCAGACTTGAATGAATGAGTTTTACACATTCTGTCAATAGTCGTTTGACCCAATCATGCATTCCATTCCCTGATCAGCAGAAAGCTGCCTCACCTCATTTTGTCTTTAACCACAAACAAGATACGCACGTGGAACGAATTGTCATTGCCTCATTATGCCCCTGGGGCCTTGCCATTCATGCATATGAGAAAGGAAGATGCAGTTAAGAAAATGGGCAATTGTACTAGAGATTGTTGCAGTGGAGCTAGTTGTGCTCACTGTTTCCTGTATGGTCTTTTCTTGGTTCTCACCATGTTGATGTGACTGTGATAGCACAGTGTACTGTTTTTTTAGAGAGGCCAGGCAGTAGTATTTATGGAGCACACTCAAAGTATTTCAGTAATCTGTCCTTATTTGTGACGTACACAGCAGCCTCTGGACAAGCAAATCATTCTAATACTGTGGTTGGGATTCTTTGTAGGCTTTGTTGAAAATTATCCTTTCAGGTATTGGTATGCATTTGGAAAATGTTCTGCTCCTCTCCAATTCTGGTGTTCCTTTTCCTCTCCCCTGATGAGGAGTATTGGGTTGTGTTATTTCTTCTGTTAAAGGCTGTACATTGATCTTGCAGGGATACTATGGACAGTGCAAAACAGAGTGCTGCTCTGTGTCTACTGCGGTTGTACAGGACATCTCCAGATGTGGTGCCAATGGGAGAATGGACGTCACGAGTCATTTACCTTCTGAATGACCAACACTTGGTAAAACCATTTGAGGTTTCCTTTTAATAATGTGCATTTATCGAAGGATCACAATGCTTTTCTTGACTGTCCTATGTCTCATCCATCCAGGGAGTTGTAACTGCAGCTACAAGTCTGATCACTGTACTCGCACAGAAAAATCCTGAAGAGTTTCAAACTTCTGTGTCCTTGGCGATTTCAAGGTTGAGCCGGGTAGGACCTTTCCTTCATTCAAGTGTAGCACTTCAGTGTCAGCTGATGTGAATTAAAATTTTAAAGTTTAAAAAACACAGCAACTGCACAAATCTTCAAGGGTCAAATATAGTTTGATACAGGTGCATGAATCCCATGAGGTAAGGTATGGTTTAGTGTGGGAATTGATCAAGGATAAATTGTTTTCTGTGGAAGATAGTCCAAACTGCTGTTATCCTTTGAGTACAGAAATGTTTAAATTTCACTACGAAAAGGTCTGACTCTGGTCTTGTTAAATCTGTGCAGTCCTAGACTACATAACCAAGATAAATACTTTGTCACAATCTAACCCAGTGGTTCTGTTTGGCCAAATTACTCTGTAACCCTCGATATTCCATGGGATACACTCCTGGTATATTTAATCTCCCTCATTGTCTCTGCCAGGTATCATTCTAGTAAATATACACTGCTCTCCCTCATATGCCGATATCTCCTTCCAAATATGCAGGGCCCACAGCAGTTCCCAGTACCTCGGGGGGTGGTCCAAGCAGGGCTGTGTACAACGGAACTGTGCTGTCTAGCTCCTTGTGTTTGTGTCCTTGAGAGAAAGGCTAGAATTCCATCAGCCTTTGGATTATTTTCTGGACGTGTTCAGGATATTTTAAGTTTAAAAAAACCCAAACAATTGCAGATGCTGGAAATCAAAAACCGAAACAGAAATTGCTGGTCTGGCAGGTCTGGCAGCATCTGTGGAGAGAAAGTAGAGTTAATATTTTGGGTTCAGTGACCCTTTTTGTTCTGAAGAAGGTTCACTGGAACCAAAATGTTAACTCTGCTTTCTCTCCACAGATGCTACCAGGCCTCCAGGATATTTTAATGATCTGTATACCTAGAACCACTTTTGTTCATCCATTGTTTATGGATTATCACCATTTAGAATGTCCCCCATTTCAGACTTCCCAGATCCAAGATGTATGACCACATAGAAATCCATTCACTACATCTTTAGTCATTCACTTAATCTATGAGTAAATCTAATCATATAGTGTGGAGTATAGTTCAGTGTGGGAATGTAAATTCTGTGGTGCAAGTATAGTTTATTGTATGAACATGAATCCTATAGCATTGGATATAGTTTATTATAAGAATGTTAATCCTATTATGCGGGATATTATTTAGCTTTGTAATGACCACACCTTTGTGTTTTTCTGTTATTTTGATTGTAAATGTAAATGTGAAATTGTTTTAAAAGGAAGGATTGAGAGTGGGAATTACTGCAATTTTCAAAAGCAAGCTACTGAAACTCATTTCAAGTCTTGTTTACACTGCTGAAACAGTGGAGGAGACTGTTCACAGATGGCTAGCGTCAGGGATGTATACAAAGTGAGATTTGGTCTGTAAGAAGGAGCTGATTGGTTTGTGGAGTCATGACCGTACAAAAAGAGATATTAGCTGAACAATGATGATCTGATTGGCTCCTGGGTAACTGAACAGCTTGTGAGTGAGAATAATACTGGCAGAATCCTTTGAACCTGCAGAAGTGGAGGTTGTGTGTCTTTCTTTCCAGTAAAAACCTTAAAGCCAGTTTATTTTCTATCATCAATTACTGAAGCAGAGGCTTAAACCAGTAACTAAGAGACTTTTCAGAATGTTTGAACGTGCCAACTGCCTGTGCCTCTTGTAAGGAACTGAAATGAATCGGGACAAGGAAGCTGAATGACAGACAGCAAGACCTGGCAAGCTAAGGGGTCATTAGGGAACTCTGTGGACTGGATTATTGAACTGATTCCTATCCAACCATATAATCAATGTTTTTGTTTTTCTGTCTGTCAGTCTGTGCGTGTGTCATGGGAGTTTTATAAGGGGGTTAGAGTTTTAACTTGTAGAGTTATATGATGATAATTCATAGTTATTTGCCTGTGATTAGAATCTATTCACTAACAATAAATGGCAATTCTTAGTACAGAAATCTCGTCTATGTTTTCTGTTAGCCTGGGTTTAAACGGACAGGTGATTATGACTTCTCATACTTGGGTAAAATTTTTTAACTTTTGTGTGAACTCCGGAAATAGTGGAGCTTGATTCCAGCCAACTACTCCAGTGAGGGGTGCCAAAGTTTGGGGACTGGTCTGGGTTTGATTTTGAAACAGATCCGTCAAGGATTTGGGTGTGGTATTAGTAGGTGAGGGATTCTCTACTGCCTTAAAGACATAGCAAATAAAGAAATTTCCTGCAGATGGCAGAGTTGTCACACAGTTACATTTGCAGAGCCACAATGGTCATTCACCCTTTCAGCCAGTTCCATCAGTCAATTAAATCTAAGCATCTACATTGGCTTTGTAACTCCTAATCCCTTTATTAACAAAAATTGATTTAAGTCTTGAAATTATTAAATGATTCTCAGTTTCAACAATGCTTTTGAGAAGAGAGTTCCAGATTTCTGCTATTTTGTGTGGAACACACATCCTGATGTCACAATGAAATGACCTATCTTAAATTTCAAAGTTAATATCACAGACTCTGGCACTTCCTGCTGGAAAAATCGATTTTTCTCTATCTCTTTAATGCTCTGATAGCTGGCTTTCTCATCTGACTTCTAGTGTGATAAGACCATGTTAGAGTAAGGGCTTTCAAGGCCAGTGCCTGCTGTGAAAAGAAGGACTGGGATTTTTATGGTGCTGAATGAGACATTGAACCCTCCAGTGAAGCCCTCAATGTGGTAGTGATTGTGTTGTAGGAAAGCCAGCCCTGTCTATATTACAATAGAAAGAGTTCTTGATTAATTAGTTGAAAAGTGGTCACTGATATTCACTAGCAATTTTATGAATAGGAGAAGGGCCTACATGTGTCAATTAAAATAAAGGATCACACTAATGTCCTGGTTTGTTCCTTGGTTGCCCAGGACATGCTGGCATTATTTGAACTGGTTTTGTTTGTTTATTATTACAGCTTGTATCATCTGCTTCAGCTGATCTCCAGGATTACACTTACTACTTTGTGCCAGCTCCTTGGCTTTCAGTGAAGCTTCTGCAGCTGCTGCAGTGCTATCCCCCACCAGGTGAGCTCTCTGTGTCCCCACCAGTGGAGAAACCCCAGTCCCAGTCCAGGTAGAGCCCTAATTAGTAATCTGATCATCTTTCAATGTAGAACAGTCTGTTCAGAGCAAATGGTCTAAGATTCAGTCCTTGATCCGTGCATCTTGTGGTGAATAGCTTGTGGTCACTCACGAGTGAATAGTTGCGATTTGGGTGAAGTAGTGGAGCTGCTGGTTGCACAGGCGTTCAGTCAGGTAATGTGTGCGGGTTCCCTTTCCATCTGAGCTCACTAAGACACAATCACTGAGCAATACTTCCACCCATCCAGCTCAGAATCACAGGAAAATCTTGAGACCAACAAACTCAGAGCAAATAAAAAAACTTGAACCTGAAATTTAGACGGTGTCTTCAAGATTCCATTTTCTGCTTTGGACATGATGGGAAGCTGGACTGTGCCTTAGTATCTGTCCTATTATCAGTACTGATTATGTCTAAATAACCGATTTCTGTGCCCTGCAGAGGATCCTGCTATTCGAGGGCGTCTAACTGAATGTCTTGAAACTATCCTGAACAAGGCCCAGGAGCCACCTAAATCAAAGAAAGTGCAACATTCAAATGTCAAGAATGCAGTCCTGTTTGAGGCCATTAGCCTCATTATTCACCATGACAGGTTAGTCAGACGGGTTTGCAAAAAAGAAACTACTGGGCCTTGCATATGATAAGGATAAAACTTATGTCTTGTCTCAGTAATCTCTTGTTTACCTCAAGATTTTTCAAATCACCCTTGCTGCAGCTTTTCTACTGCAGCAACTGACTTGCTCATGCTTACATGTCTCACTTTCATTAAGCAACAGCATATAACTTTCTTACTCTGTGATAACAGATTACTTATTACTTCTTAACACGATCCAGTCAGACTTTATCTGACCTTAGTACATATTTGTCCCAAGTCATTGGAGCAACATGGTGACTCAGTGGTTAGCACTGCTGCCTGACACTGCCAGTGACCCAGGTTCAATTTTAGCCTTGGGATGTACGGAGTTTGCACATTCTCCACGTGTCTGTGTGGGTTTCCACTGAGTGCTCCCGTTTCCTCCCACAGTCCAAAGATGTGTAGGCTAGGTGAATTAGCTATGGGAGATGCAGGGATAGGGTAAGGAGAGTTAGTCTGTGTGGGATGCTCTTCAGAATTTTGGTGTGAACTTGATGGGCTGAATGGCCTGCTTCCACATTGTAGAATCCTTATGATTTCAAAATTCTCCAGTTCCACTATCCATTCTTACTTTAAGCTTGGTTACATCAGTCTAAATAAAAACTGAAAGAACTGTGGATGCTGTAAATCAGGAACAAAAACAGAAGTTGGTGGAAAAGCTCAGCAGGTCTAGCAGCATCTGTGAAGAAAAAAATCTGACCTGAAATGTTAACTCTGACTTTTTCTTCACATATGCTGCCAGAGCTGTTGAGCTTTTCCAGCAACTTCTCCTTTTGTTACATCAGTCCAAGTCAGCCATGTAATTCAGCAGCCTCGTATATCAAAGCACTTTACACTGAATGACGTACTTTTGAAGTGTGGTCATATTATAATCTGGGCACTATATTGAATATGTGTGTTGCATATGAGGTATCAGGCAGTAGCAGAATGGTTATCTTCTTGAATTAGCATTCTTGAGCCTGGACTGATATTGTGGGTACAAGTTCAAATCCTATCATGACTGCTGGGGGCTACTGTAGAAGGAGACCATTCAGCCCATCATGTCTACACTGGCTCTTCAAACAAGCCTAACAGCAGTGTCATTCTCCTGCCTTTTTCCTTGACTCTTGAACTTTATTATTCCAAGTGTAATTAATTAATTATTTAATAAAATTCCTGGGATTCTGAAATCACCAGGTTGTTTTTAAACAAAATCCGCCTTTGAATATGTTGAAGCCTGGAGTCGACAAATATTTGATTTCACAGGGAATCATGGCATATGGGGAGTGAACAGGAAATGGAATTGAAACACAAAATCAGCCATCAGCATGCCAGGCTCGATAGGCCGAATGGCCTACTCTTACTATGTTCGTGTGCTTTCATGGTTGGATTCATTAAAAATAAACTCACTGAGCTACTGGACGTTTGCTGTGTATCAGACATCTGTATTTTACAGTGTTCTAGAGCGCAGGTTGAAATCCTGCTACACTTGATTCATCACTCTGAGCTGTCATTTCATTTCCAAGGGAGATTGAGTCTCAATCGGGAATCAAGATGCGGTCTTAACCTGCAAGCAATACCCTGCTTTTCATATTGAGAACCCTCTGTCAGTATTGATAGAAAGTATAGCTCCCTCAGCACTGTCCCCATCAAACGCTGCCAGGACACGGACAGCATGGGGCTAGATACAGAGTAAAGTTCTCTTTTTCTTGACCTGAAGAAAGTAATGTTCCTGAGCTTTCGCATTCAGGGCCTGTGCCATCATTCTCCTTATACGTGCTCTATAAGGTTGCAGATTCTGAAAACTTGCATATTTATGGATTTAAGTGTATTTTTTAACTTTGAAAGAATGCCTGCCCTGGTGTCATTGTACAGCTAGCTGCCATTTGTAGGTTGAATGACTGTACTGAATGCCTGTTTCTTTTCTCCATTGCCTCCTTTATGTTTTTGCTGTGTGCAATGCTGTGGAAGGATTTGAAAACAAGGTTAAGCTGCCTTTATTGAATCAATGGAGTTTAGGTGCTCGGAAGGAGGCCATTTTGTTCATTAGCAACACGTGAGCTCAAAAACAAATCCCACTGCTCTGCTTTCCCTCCCTCAGCCTATTGCTGTATCTATCGTTGCTTCCTTGAAACTCACCTTGAATCTGCAGCTGCTATATGTGTTGATCAACTATCTTCTTTCTCCCTCCTCAGTCTGTCAGTGACAGTTTCAAATTGGTGGCCCATTGTTTGTGGATTCGCTGACCAGGAGCAATAGTCTTTCCCTAACCCTCATTCCTATCACAATAATTTGCTGCTTAATGTAAAAAAAATCACAAACAAATCTATTAAGCTGTGAACAAGTTCATGGAATAGTTGGGCTAAAGATTGGTCCCATTATTTTGAGTTACATCCTTTTAATTCCACAGTGAACCGAACCTCCTTGTCCGTGCGTGTAACCAGCTGGGTCAGTTTCTGCAGCATCGGGAGACCAATCTACGATACCTGGCTCTGGAGAGCATGTGGCTGCTGGCTAGCTCTGAGTTTTCTCATGAGGCAGTGAAGGCACACATCGAAACAGTCATCAATGCACTCAAGGTAACTGCCCTTACCGTTCCAGGATTTGTTCAGCTTTACTGCCAACCAGTGGCTTTTTAATAAATGTACTCTCTGGCTGGGCAAGGGCATTTTGCAGCTGGTGTCAGCTTTATAAAACGGAAGGTGGGCAACTGGAATATACTCAGTTCCCAAATACTTGGGCACTTAATAAGTCAAACTGGTGGCCAGCACTTTTTTTTTTTGCCTGGTGTATCTCTGTTTACTCAGTGGGGCCAGCACGTCCACCATGTCTCTGGTCCTGCCCAGTGCTTCAACAGCTGGCACATCCCCTTACAACTGCAGTTCTGCAATGGGACTCCTGCACCGAGTTCTACTTTCATTCTGCACTGAACACCAGAATTGTGAGGCTCCTTTACTTTGATTTCTGTTACCTGTTCTCCATTTGAATCTTCTCCTTCTACCGGGTTCCCTGCATTATCATGCTTGCACATCAGTTTGAATTCCTCACTGGAAAAACTGGGAGTATAATTCCACCCTTTCAAGTTGAGGTGGGTGTTGTGAAAGCTCTGATTGAGGCATTCAGCAGTGTCCTTGTGGAGGAATCTGCCTCTCTGTAGATCAGAGAAGTGACCAGTCATTACCCAACAGGGTACAATGACCACTGACTTTGCTATTTGTGTTACAGACTGAGAGGGATGTGAGTGTGCGACAGAGGGCAGTGGATCTCCTGTATGGGATGTGTGATCGCAGCAATGCCCAGCAGATCGTGGCAGAAATGCTGAATTATCTGGAGAATGCTGATTATTCCATTCGAGAAGAAATTGTGAGTCCTCTTGGTTGTTTGAATGATGGTTTCTCATATCTGATCGTATTCAGACACTTGGTTTTGTTTCCACTTTCTCACCATCAGTAACCAAAGTTTTTGCTGGTTCAGAATGGAACTTTCTTCCTTTTTTTTATTCATTCCTGTTTTGCACCCATTTTTGACAGGTCAAGGTGAGTAAACAGCTGGACTGCTTGACCAGAAACAGAAGCAGAAGCAGACTATCCTCAGGTCCAGATGAGTTGTATCCAGGCTGCTATGGGAGACAAGGGAAGAAATCTCAGGGATGCTGACCCAAATGTATAAATCATCTCTGCCACAGGGAAGTGCCAGGTGACTGGAGGACACCTAATATAGTTCTACTTTACAAGAACGGTGGTAGAGACAGAGCTGGGAACTATAGACCAGTGAGTCTAACATCCGTGTTAGGGAAACAATTGGAGAAAATAGTGAAGGAGAAAATTAATCTCCATTTAGAAAGGCAGGGTTTGAGCAGGGTTAGTCAGCCTGTTTTTGGATCAAAAACAAAATTGCTGGAAAAGCTCAGCAGGTTTGGCAGAATCCATGAAGGAAAAAACAGAGTTAACGTTTCAGGTCTGGTGACCCTTCCTCAACTGATGGTGGCTGGGAAAACATCAGTTTATATGCAGCAAAAAGGGGGAGGGGGATGAGGTAAGGAGTAAATGATAGGATAGAGCCTAAGGAGAGAAAGGAGCAGTTGGACAGACAAAGTGCAGATAATGATCAGGCTGGGTGGGTGAATAGTTGTTAATGGGGACTGTTAGTGACTAATAACAGGTAGTGTGTAATGGCAGGCTATGTGGTGACAGGGCCTGGTGTGTGGGGTTGGGGGCTGGGACATGGGAGAGGTTAGGCCCTAAAATTATTGAACTCAAATTGAGTCCGGAGGGCTGGAGGGTCCCCAAGCAGAAAATGAGGTGTTGTTCTTCTAGCTTGAGTTGAGCTTCGCTAGAACATTGCAGCAAGCCAGAGACAGACATGCTGGTCAGGGAACAGAGTGGTGCATTAAAGTGGCAGGCAATGGGTAGTGCAGGGTCTTTTTTGCGAGCAGAATGTAGATGTCCTGTGACACAGTCACCTAGTCTACGCTTCGTTTCCCCAATGTAGAGACGACATTGTGAGCAGCGAATGCTGTAGACTAGATTCTGGGAAGTGTAGGTGAAGTGTAGGTAAAGTGTTGCTTCACCTGGAAGGTATGTTTGGGCCCTTGGACACTGGGAAGGGAGGAGGCAAATGGGCAGGTGTTGCACCTTCGCCGATTGCAGGGGAACGTGCCGTAGGGCTGTCGGGGGTGAAGGAAGTGTGGACCGGGGTGTCCCGGAGGAAACGGTCCCTGAAGAAGGCGGACAAGGGAGGGGAGGGGAATCTGTGTCTAATGGTGGCATCTTGCTGGAGGTGGCGGAAATGGTGCCTGATGATCTTCTGGATGTGGATGCTGGTGGGATGATAGGTAAGGACAAAAGGAACACGGCCTAATTGGAAAACTTCATCAATTTCGCCTCCAATTTCCATCCTGCCCTCATTTCAGCTGGTCTATCTCTGACTCCTCCCCTTCGTCGACATTTCTGTTTCCATTTCTGGGGATACTCTGGCCACTAATATCCACTACAAACCCACTGACTCCCACAGCTACCTGAACTATACATCCTCACACCCCACTTCCAGTAATGACTCCATCCCATTCTCTCAGTTCCTCCGTCTCTGTTGTATATGTTCAGATGAGACTAACTTCGACAGGGGACCCTCCGAAATGTTCACCACCTTCTTCAACCAATGATTCCCCAGTTCCGTGTTCGACAGGGCCCTCAACCGGGTCCGACCCATCTCCCGCACTTCCGCCATCACCCTTTTTCTTCCTTCTGCAACAGCGATAGAGTTCCCCTTGTCCTTACCTAACATCCCACAGCGTCCACATCCAGAAGATCATCAGGTGCCAGTTCCGCCACCTCCAGTAAGATGCCACCACCAGACACATATTCCCCTCCCCTCCCTTGACCGCCTTCTGCAGGGACAGTTCCCTCCGGGACACCCCGGTCCACAACTTCCTTCACCCCCAACACTTCCCCACAGCCCTACGGCACCTTACCCTGTAATCGGCAAAGGTGCAACACCTGCCTATTTACCTCCTCCCTTTCCAGTGTCCAGGGGCCCAAACATACCTTCCAGGTGAAGCAACACTTTACCTACACTTCCCAGAATCCAGTCTACTGCATTCGCTGCTCACAATGTCGTCTCTACATTGGGGAAACGAAGCATAGACTAGGTGACCGCTTCGCAGAACATCTACGTTCTGCTCGCAAAAAAGACCCTGTACTACCCATTGCCTGCCACTTTAACACACCACCCTGTCCCCTGACCAACATGTCTGTCTCTGGCTTGCTGCAGTGTTCTAGTGAAGCTCAATGCAAGCTAGAAGAACAACACCTCATTTTCCGCTTGGGGACCCTACAGTCCTCCGGACTCAATATTGAGTTCAATAATTTTAGGGCCTAAACTCTCCCATGTCCCAGCCCCCTACCCTACACACCAGGCCATGTTACCACATAGCCTGCCATTACACACTACCTGTTATTAGTCACTATTAACAACTATTCACCCTCCCAGCCTGATTGTTATCAACTCTTTGTCGATCCAACTGCTTTTCTCTCTCTTTAGGCTCTATCCTATCGTTTACTCCCTACCCCATCCCCCTCCCCCTTTTTTCTGCATATAGACTGATGTTTTCCCAGCCACCATCAGTTCTGAAGAAGGGTCACCGGACCTGTTTTTTCCTTCACAGATGCTGCCAGACCTGCTGAGCTTTTCCAGCAACTTTGTTTTTGTTCCTGATTTACAGCATCCGCACTTCTTTCGGTTTTTTATAGTCAGCATGCATGTCATGCCGAAAAAATCTGGTAGACTTTTTTGAGGAGATGGTGAAGTGTTTGAATGAGGGTAGGACATTTGATGTGGTTTATATGAACTTCAGCAAAGCCTTTGACAAGATCCCCCATGAGAAACTGATAAAGAAGCTTAAAGCTCATAGGATCCAGGGTAACTTGGCAAGTTGGATCCAGAATTGGCTTAGTGACAGGAGGCACAGGGTGGTGGTAGAAGACTGTTTGTGTGACTGGAGCCCGGTGTATAGCGGCATACCACAGGGATCAGTTGGGTCCCTTATTGTTTATGATATTCATAATGATGGAGAGAGAGTGTGGGAAAGGTGGTAAGTAAGTTTGCAGATGACACAAAGATTGACCAGTTGGTTGACAGTGAGGAGGGAGGTATTAGGTTACAAGGAGGATATAAATGGATTGGTCGGATGGGGAGATCAGTGGCAGATAGAATTTAGCCTGATAAGCGTAAGGTGATGCACTTTGGAAGAAGGAACAAGACAAAGGAGTATTCATTGAATGACAGGACACTGAGAAGCTCAGAGGAATCTTGGGTGCTTGTCCACAGATTCCTGAAGGTGGTAGGACAAGTTAATAGGGTAGTTAAAGAGAGTATACAGGACACTTGCCTGTATCAGTTGAGGCATAGATTATAAGAGCAGGTGGTTATGTTGAATTTGTAAAGAATTTTGGAGAACTGTGCGCAGTTCTGGTGACCACACCATAAGAAGGGTATGATTGCACTGGATGGCGTGCAGAGGAGATTCATCAGGATGTTGCCTGAGATGAAATAGTTTAGCTATGAAGAGAAGCTGGATAAGCTTGGGTTGTTTTTGTTGAGGGGTAAATAACAAGGGGGCATATTTTAAAGTGAAAGGTAGAAGCTTAGAAGGTTATGATGAAAACCTTTTTTACCCAGAGAGTGGTGGGAATCTAGAATGCACTGCCTTGGGAGGGAGGTTGTTGAGGCAGAAACCTCACAACCTTTAAAGAGTACTTGGATGAGCACTTGAAATGTTGTAAAATTCAAGGCTATGGGCCTAGTGCAGGTAAATGGGATTAGCGTAGGTAGTAGTGTACTTTTGGTGGTACAGACTTGAAAAGCAGAATTTCTTCTTCTGTATTGTGTCATTCTATGATTTTACAATATGTGACATCTTTGAGCCAGAAGTTGTGGGACGCATTAATACCAGGACGTAGAAGGAAGATGTATCGAGGTCATACAGGCAGATTTTCCAGAGTTAGGAAGGAAGTTTTAAAAAATAGGAGTTTGAGGTTAGTAATCTCTGATTGTTCCCAGCACAGGGACCAGAAGATTAGAGATGGGAGGATACAGTGGGGGGTGGGATCGTTGTGGGGCAAGGAGGCAAGGCTTAAGATCCTTAGGGCTCTGAACGGAATGCAATTCTTGAAAAGGGATGGGCTGCATTGGGGACAATGTCCTTGCAGGGAGGTTCACAAGTGTGTGACAATACTCCAGCTTTAAGAGGTGTATTTTGTCTTATTTTTGAAGAGAGATTTCAAGCCAGAGGTGGTGAGTTGTCTCTTTTAAGCCAATGAAGTAAACAGCTTTTTTTTTTGAAGTTAGAACAATAGAAGCTGCATGAATGGGTGGAGTAAGGCTCCCACAGAACCAGGGTTTTAGTTTAGCTTTCAGTAGTTGTTGGGGTTTTGAAGCTGGTTGTGGAAGCTGTTCTACACCTCTCTCGGCCACAGCAAAAAGCTGGAGTTCTCTTTGAAAGAATTTTCTCTTGGTGTTCTTTCCTTCTGGATTGGCAAAACATAATGTGCAACAATCTGTTTTACTGAATTTGCCTTTGCCAAGGGCATGTTTATGGAATGTTACTATGTTGGAACAGTTGCTGTTTAGTTGTTAAACCATCTATTATTCTGTCAAGTTTTCCAATAGAGTTAAAGTTATGTCAATTCTTCTTTCTTTTGTTTGTATTCTAATTGAGTGTAAGAATAAAATGTGTTTTGCTTAAAGTGAAGTAGTTTGACCAATCGAATTACATCTGTAATAGAGCACCTTATACTTGTCTTTCAATAAGATAACGTTACGGTCTTAGGCTATCTCTTTGATACATTTGAAGGGGGTTTGGTCTAGTCCATATCAAGTGCAATCGAGGAGGGTTTAAACTTAATGGCTACCAACTTGTAGAAGTCTAAAAGAGGAATAAAATGCATATAGTGACTCTGGTGATTGTTCGAGAGAAGGGAGGAAAGCAGACCAAGATATATTGTGAGGAATGTAAATACAGGATGATGGTGCATAAATGTGCAAAGTGTGTTGAGTGAGATTTGGAGAGATACAAACATCATCAGCAGTTTGGGAATATGATCGGTGGAGATGATGGATACATGGCCTAAAAATCGGTAGGCTCGGGTGCTAAATATACAAGAATATAAAGCGTTCAACAAAGACAGAGAAAGGAAAAAGGGGGGTGGGATTTCTTCAATGATAATGGAAAATATTGAGCATGTATGATGCACCTAAAACATACTCTTCAAGTGTAAGCCAGGTCAAATATAGTCGATTATGAGAGGAGAAGAAAATAACATTGGGAAAGAGAGATCATGAGAATGGGGTTAAAGAGGGTGGCATATGCTTTTTAGGTTCAGGACAAGGCTAGAATAATTCTTGAGTTCATTGTATCATTGTTCATTAAGGAAGGGGCATCTGAGAAAGTATCAGTCGAAAGTAGTTAACAGACAGTGTGAAAATTGAAAGGGAGGAGTTACTGGAAAAGCTGACCGTGCTTAGAATAGATGGGTCATCAGCTCAGGATGAATTGCTAAAGGAGCTGGTATTAGATATTGCGGAGGATTTGCCATGATCTTCAACCTTCCCTAGATTTGAGGAAATGTGAAAGGATTAGAGAGTGGAAAATAGACATTCCTATTCAAGAGCAACTATAGACAGCCGTAGTGGCTACAGGTCGGTTAGTTTAACGTCAGTATGTGTTTGCTACTCCATAATCAGGGACAAAAATTCAGTGGGAAATTAGATGGGATTGGTTTAATAAAGGAGAGCCAGAGCAGTATTGTAGAAGATAGATTGTGATTGACTAATCGGACAGTGTTTTCTGATGAAAGAGTAGAGAAGGTTTATGAAGGGAATGCAATGGATATTGTCCATGTGACCTTCAAGAAAGACAAGATACCAAATAGAAGAGTGATTCATTTAATGGAGATTTGTGGAATAGAGGCTCAATGTCCAGTTGGATAAATAATTGGCCTAAGGACAGAAAGCAGTGAGTTGAGCTAGCTGGGTATCGTTCAGATTGGAGGATGGTAGACATTAGTCTTATTTAAGGGTCAGTGCTAGGACCCTTTTTTTTTTTACTTATAAATGATTTGGATCTTGGGACATAATGTACAATTTCAAAACTTGCCAGTGATCACGATGTAGCACACAACAAAGATGCTCTGAATTGCCTACTATAGGACGTAGGTAGACTAGCAAGATGAGCAGACAGGCGGTAGTTGGGGTTTTGTACAGGGAAATGTAAGTTGATGCATTTTGGCAGAAAGGATATGGAGACATTATACAGATGTGCAGTTATAGTTTAATTTGGGAAACGTGGTCTGCACGGATGAGTTGGACTGAATGGTCTGCTTCCATTCTGCAAGATCTCCTTAAAAAAAGTTAGTGATCCTGTTCAAAAGACTGTGCATGGATAGAGAGACCTTGAGGTGCATGTGCATCAATTTTTGAAAGTGGCAGGACATATTGAAAGACTGGGTTTTTTTTTCATTTATTTGTGGGATGTGATGTTGCTGGCTGGCCAGCATTTCTTGCCCATCCCTAGTTGCCCTTGAGAAGGTGGTGGTGAGCTGCCTTTTTGAACTGCTGCAGTCCTCCTGTCGTGGGTTGACCCACAACGCTATTAGGGAGGGAATTCCAGGATTTTGACCCAGTGACAGTGAAGGAATGACGATATATTTCCAAGTCAGGATGGTGAGTGACTTGGAGGGAACTTGGATGTGGTGGTGTTCCCATATATCTGCTGCCCTTGTCCTTCTAGATGGAAGTTGTCATGGGTTTGGAAGGTGCTGTCTGAGGATCTTTGGGGAATTTCTGCAGTGCATCTTGTAGATAGTACACACTGCTGCTACTCAGTGTCGATGGTGGAGGGAGTAAATGCTTGTAGATGTAGTGCCAATCAAGCGGGCTGCTTTGTCCTGGATGGTGTCAAGCTTCTTGT